TTTTTAATAATAAAAAAAAAAAAGTTATTAAAGTTTATAATAATTTTCTTTGAATAGACTAGATAATTGGTAAATTAAATTGATGTTTTAAACATGATTTACTATAAAACGACGGAGACACGAAGAAAATGTTTACCCAGAGCCAATAGCGTATAAAAGGCTCCTGTGTAAGGGGCAATAGTTAAACTATATGTTCAATTCAAACATTATATACATATTGCCTTATGTATACAGGGTGTCTGACGATGATCTGACATATGGTGGATAACTTGTGTTGTATTCAATATTTTTAAATTTTTTTTTTCTATATAATTCATAGAAACTTACACTAATTTTTAGTATATTTTTTTATTTCTTAATAAAATTAAATTTTTTTTTTAATACTGAAAATATAAAACTTAAAATTGATAAAAATTATTTTGGATAAATTTAAAATAGCTTATTTGTGAATCTTATTATAAGAACAATTTCGATGATAAAAAGATTCATCTAAGTCAAGTAATTTATTTTTAGAATTTTTTTAAAATTCAACATTTTTTTTGTTAAATTAATTTGAAACGTAATAACTTTTTTAAAATATGATCTTTTAGAATTTGCTGGTTATATTTCTTAAATTATTTACTTATCATATAATAACAATTTTTGTCACACTTTTAATTAACATAATTCTTTTTTCTGTCGGATCTTTTTAAGACAACCTGTAGTTTCACCCTGCCGTTTCCCGTACATACTTTTATGTTATAAGTATCTAAGGTTTTTGTTTTTCGATATTCTATGAACTATGAAAATTAGGATTAAAATGTATACACTTGCTATGATAACTTATGACCACCAATGATTAAAAATTATATTGACATACGTCAATGGTGCATTCTATTTTTTAGAAAAATGAATTTTACATAATATTGCGCAATTTTTTTTCCATTGTCTATGTTATGATTATGACCAGTCGGCTCCTTAAACAATTTCTAGTTATGTCTATATTAGTAATATTAGTACTATGCTTGGCCAGTGGTMAATTTGCCTGTAGTGAAAATAATTTCTTTATACGCCAATGCCCAGGGCAGCAAAATTTTTACTACATCACTGCTGACTATAGTACACCGATCCACCTTGTTCTGAACATTCCATTTGGAATTAATGATACATTTCATTCAAGTTACATCGAAAACTTTCTAATTGAACAGGTATAAATATAATTTTCAACAGAAATAATTTAAATAATATAATCATGAAAATAATCTTCTTAAACTAAGAATTAAATTACGTTCTATACAAAGTAACTGTATCTTGAATTTTTATAATAGTTATTTAAAATAAACTAGTAAAATAATGTTGTATACTTGTATATCATAATGAATAAAAACAAATAAACTAGCTCCCAAAGAATTCAAAAACAATCTTTGCAATTATTTGGTGGGTGAACAGTAACGTAAACTACAGGAAAATATTTAGGCAAACAAAATTGTCACTTCTTATAAAAAATAAAAATGTTGGTGCCTTAAATATCTATTTCTCCACGTTCTTCTATGCCATTATGGTAGCCATTACAGGCGTTTGTAATTTGTAAATACAACAATATATATTCATCCGATTTTGACGTAATGTTTTTACCAATAGATATAAATTTCTGATTTAAATATTAACCTAGACCATTATTTTATATTTACCGCTATTATTTGACTCCCATACACTAATATTTTAACATATTATATCATATTAATAACCTACTCCTAGCATCTGCGTTCGACCGGAAGATTTTCACCAATTGTACCTATAGTGGGGTACACACTGAAGGGTGATTATTTTGTATTTTTTACCATAAATATAAATGTATAAAAAATTATATAATTAATAAAATTAAATAATTGAAAAATGTTTTTGATATAGATGTGCATATACGCTATAAACATAATTTTTTATAATCCCTCACCATTAAAATATCTGTGTACGCACTGATCGCACTAATTAATACGTTAGCAGATTTCTTTTAATATTGTCAGATTAAAATTCTTACCTTGGCAGTTATTTGTGATTTTCATGACCAATCGGTTAAGGAAGTAGTATTATGCCGTGTCAATTAAGTTCGTATTTCTTAATCCACCAAATCGGAAAACATGTAATTGTAATATATTATAACCTACTAAATCAATTTAAAATTAGAGTTTTGAAAATATTTAAGTAAAGTATGTTGGTATTATAGGAATATAAAATTAACCTAACTAACTTATGGTAACTGACAACATTACAAACGGTTTTCGACTTTGATCACAATTTATGATAAAAAAATTGTATTAATCGATGTAGCAATTACCCTCAAATAAGCACTAACTAAAAAAATTACAATTTCAAGCATTATAAGTCTATAAATGTCTCATTTTAGAACTATTTAGGACTAATGTATTCAACATTTAACACACAAAAAAATTAATAATGAATAAATGAAAATAATACACACATTTGCGATGCATTATACTAATGAATTTATTTAGTTGTTCTATTAAACATTACATCAATTTTTAGATTCTGAACGAAGTGATGAATGTATTGATTTTACAATGATGTGTTTTTTTTTTTGTGTGTCTGTGTACAGCATAACTAGTCGAAATAATGCTTCGATTTCAAACTTTGGGGGTGGTTTCYGATGTAAAAGTGAAGATCCTTGGTGCATTATAAAGGTCAAAAGTAAACATTTTCCAACAGTTTTCAAAAAAATCGAGTAAAACAAAAAAAAAAATGACAGAAAAACGGGCATTT